GTGTGTAGCCAGCAGCCGCAGTGAGCGGCTGTCCAGAAGCCGGCGACTGATCTGTCTCGCCTGGGAAGAGCACAATCATGGTGCCAACTTGGGCCAGTGAAGCAACGTCTTCCACAACTAGACTGAAGAACAAAACGACAGCAACTTGTCTGTTCCCCTTCCCCCAATTCCCCAATAAAAATTTTAAAAAATCTTAAAAAAAAACAAAACAGGTGTAGTTCATGAAAAAATATCATCTTTACTCAGCCCAAGATTGCTTAATATTTATTCCTCTCGGCCCTATTTTTTTACCTTTATTTACATCTTTTTGTACTCACCCATTATTTGACTATAGTGGCCTCTTCAGACTCTTTACTTAGTTATCTGTGCTTTTCATTTTCTCCTCAGATATAAGACAGCAGCTCAGAAAGGCGCCTAAACACCACTGACCACAATTAGGAGAGCCCAATGGAAGATAGTAGCTGATATGCTATTTATAGCTGAAAAACTTCCATTTGTGCCAGATTGGGCCATTTGGGGGTGGGGAGGATAGGTTCATTCCTAAATTCAAGACTGTTTCTTCTTTATGGGTGTTTATTTTTCAAAATCAATCTGTACAATTTCCCTGGTGCAGAGCAAGGTCTACTGAAGGATATCCATACTTGCACCCCAGCTAGCAGTAGCAGCAAGGACAAAATTAATTTGGTTAGTAGTTTAGGGCATGCTTAGTCAAAGCAAATCTATGATGTAATTAGTAAAATTCTTAACTGAATTTACCAAGAGTCTGAGATGCCTGTGCTAGTAGAATGTTCTCTGCACGTGGACACATCTGATACATGCCTCTTGCTGTGTAGAAGGATGTTTACTATGGCGCCCTTTTCTTTTTGGAAATAATTTTGGGATTCAACAAGATAAATTTCTTGCAGGTATTTTTCTGAATATATTGAGCCCATATATACCAGGGGTGCCAAAAAAAATGTATACACATGACTTGTGTATACATTGTGTATACATGACTCTTTTGTTATCGGTATATATTATTACAATTTTAATACAGTTTTTTCCTTTCTTAAAATGTGTATATATTTTTTAGGCACCCTCTGTAGTTTTCAGGGAAATTCAATCTCTTGGATTAAGTTCAATTATTCTTATCAGAAGACTGAATTTAAAAAGCAATTTGATGCCCAACATACTTTTTGAGTCTCTTTATGAGCTTTTAAAGTACAACTTTTAATACCTAAAGCCAGGAAGTTCTGTTCTCCATCCATAAAAGAACCTGGATCAGTAAAAACTTGTGTGAGACTCAGAACTCTTAAATCCACAGTTCTCTCGTGAATTATAAATTCAGCCAAGTGTTCTATTGTCTCACATGAAAACTGATTTCATGAAATCAGGCAGTGGAAAGGCATCATAACATTTGAAAGAGCTGCCAAACATGCTGGGCCTTTATAGTTGTTGCTATTATAAGTTATAATAATAATTAAAATATGTATCAATAATATATAAATTTCTCCTACATACCTGTATGTTTTTAAGATTTAAAAATTTAAAAAAAATTGAATTAGAATACAGCACAGGGGCAAACTACTTTATGGTACACTTAAATCCAGATAGCCCCATTATTTATGACACTTGAGTTTTATCATTACTTTCCTTCCACAAGTATGACAAAAATGTTCAAGAAGCCAAAAGCCTCTCAAACTTAAACACCATATAAACAATGCTATAGTGTTTTCCTCTGTTTTTTTAATTTTTAAATAAAGGATCTCCACACGTTTTTTCACTTTTCACTACTCAAACAATTAAAAGTTTATTTCAAAAGACTCAAAAGCTTTGTAGAAAATGTAGAAATTAATCTTACACCTTTGATGCATAAATTGTCAGAGGAACAAAAAAATAGGAAAATCTGTTTAGTTTTCCTTTGCATTATTTTTAAAGGCCTGATATATGGTCGTGTCACAAAGTTTTAAATTTAGTTTCACTTGCCACCAAGTAAAATCAACAATTGAAT